CTAGTTCTTATGGGGTTCAATCTACATCACCCTGAGATCAAAAATGACAATGTGGCAGGAAGGTTGTGAATTGAATGACCAGTGACTGCTGACCAGGTTTTGGACTGGAGCACTGGGGTATCGGGTTATATTATTGTGATTACTTAAAGTTTTGTTTTTCATGCCATTTGCTACTAGTCATGTCACTTATTGGTATGGTAGAAAAAAATAATGTAAATAAATAAATTTTCCATAAATGTAACAAGTTTATTGTAACATTAATGACAATGCATTAATTTTATTTGTCATTGCTTTCCCAATTAATAATTTAAAGTGTCCTTTTTTTTTTTTTAAATTTTCTAACAGATTGCTTTCTCCTTCAAATGATTTATCATTATTTTTTTTTCTTTCAGTTCATATCCTGATTTTTATTAAAAAAAGGAAAAATGAACTCAAGGTAAGTAATGTACATAACATAATCTCCATTTTTGTCAGTGTACTTAATACATTGCTTTTCAGCTTATTCCATAGATGGAATATTATATAGTGAACTTTTCAGATCAAAATTCATTTAATACCTGCCTTGGGCTATGGATGTGTGCATACTTATACAAACAAGCTTACAGATTTGATAAACAATTTAATAAGGAATTGTCCATTTTTGATTGCTCTCATTACTCAATGTTGATATAATGCAATGGTTGTATTTTTTAGATGTTTAAAAAGTCTTTTTCATATTTATCTTATTTCACTTGTTTTATCTATCTGACTATTGTAAAAAGATGACAGTAAGGTAATCTATATTTGATTAACAAATAAGAAACCTAATTTATTTGTTTCTCATTAAAATATAAAAAACTTAATTACACTTTCTTTTTATAGGTCAAGTATAACAAAAGCATTTTTTAAATTTATATTTACATTGGAAAATTTTTTTTGTTTGATTTCTGTCTGTGCCATGATCATAGACAAGGAGCGTTGAGCTAATTCTTGGCATGAAGAATCACAAACTAAGTTAGTGAGATTGATCTCAAAGATCATTCAAGACCATCAGAGGTTATCAAAAAGTACAGTAGGCCATTTCTAGCCAAATGAATCAATATCAAACAAAAAAGAGTGAGATATTGTATATGCTATGAAGTACAAACATGACTTCACAAACATGGGGTGTACAGGATCAAGTTCCACCTCTGGGCTTGCCAGTGGTCATTGGAGGTAACATTAGTTTGTAAACTTTGATTTTTACTGCTGTAAAATAAGCATAAATTAATATCTAGTGATAACAAAAAGAGATGATAGTGCAGGTGGTGTTGGCCTCCAAGGTCATGAGAGGGCAATTTTGAATCAAATAGCTTTTTGCAGCAAAACAAGAACTCAAAAAGCTAAAAGCTTGTTTGCTTTATTTTGTTTGCAAAATGTTGTGCAATCTTGAATTTTTCAAAATTTTGGGAATTAATCTTTATTTTTTCAGTTATTTAAAATGTAAAAAAATAATCCAAGACTGCAGAAACTACCAGTGGCTCTGTAAGTGAGGCATTCTTACTATAACAATTGATGTCATCAAAGAAATTACCTCAAAGCTGTTGTAACAATCCTGTACAAAATTAAACGACTGTACGAATTAAATGAATTCTGAAGTTTATTCAGAACCCAATCAAGTTTCACTTGAGATGCCAGGTGTTCCTCTTCAAAATCTTCAACTAAAAGTTGGGACACCCATTGTGCTTCTCAGAAGTAGCTTCTACATGCCATTGAAGCAACTATTCTAACTGGAGTAGGCAAAAAGGAGAATCCCCAGATCTTGCTCTTTGAATTAAAATCTCTTCAAAGACTCAGTTTTGCCATTAACAAGACGCAAGGAGAATTTCTCAAGATTGTAAGCCAGACATATGTGCTTTTCACATGGTCAGCTCTGTTTTAGTTGTTCTTGGGTTGGATCTCCAAATAACCTATTCATACTGGCATCCAATGTGAGAAGCAGCAGCATACTTAGAATCCTGATTAAATTATTATTTTCTTTTGTGCATCAGAATATTTTTTGATAAATATTTTCTCATGCATAAATCTTTTTTTTTTTCCTGTGTTGTTATAGTTGTTGTCATTTTATTGTCAAGCAATGCCAGGTATCTCTGCTCATTACTTTTACCATTTCTACAATCATTTAAAATCAACATTATATCTTGCAAATATGGCAAATAAGTCCTGGACATTTCTTTCCCAAAAGACTATTCAAAATTTTTTTTCAAGTTTTATAAAGTTTGTGTATCTAATATTTACCCAGATTATATAGGCTACCAGTACTTGTACTATGCCTAATTTCATAATACAGTAAATAGAGGGAAAAATCTTGTGTTATTAAATATGGTAAATTGAAAATTTACATGTGGAAAGTAGTTTATGTATATATTTTTGGTGATATATTTTAAAATTTTAGTGTTTAAGTAGTGGTTTATGTAACATGACATCATAGGATTTATTAAACAAATTGTTCAAAATCTGTCTATATTTCTGAGATGAGGTATTGTAATTAATTGGACTATTGACAGTGTTCTTTGTTCACAATGTTTCAGCCATTGTACACTCCAGCCTCCAGGTGATTGGAATTTCGAACTGAATCCTTTATTTCGTCCACTTGAATAGATTGTTCTAGTTCTACGTGCCATGCCTCTTCCAGATGTCTCAGTTATTTTCCTTTTCTATTTTTCCATTATGATATTTTTTAACAACTTAGAAGTATGAATAAAATATATCTATTTTGATTGCTATATCTTCTTTCTTTAATTTTTAAAATATTAATGATTTAATAAATGCTATGAAAATCTCTAGTTTATAAATTATAATGTTGTGGGCTTTTACAATAGATTAATGACTTTGTAATTTATGAAAGAGAAAGAAATGAAATTCACTTAATAAAACATACAAACAACCAATATTAATTTGCATTATTTATTTGCAGACAGCAGCAGGAGATACTTGAAATCCGTCAGTACATTGGCAAAACAGTTGATATCAGTAAAGGCAAGGAAAACTTTGCAGATATAGCCAAACCTATTCTAAAAGTGGAAATTGGCTTGAATAAAAAGTTTAAGATACTTGATTTTCAAAGTTTGCTTGCTAACAATGGGAAGGTAAAGTTTTTATTTTTCTATTATTGAGAATGTAAAGCTGTTGACATTAAGCTTTTATTATAAAATGTCTGTTAGATTTTGTTTTGTCCAGTGTAAAAAAAAAAAAAAATGATCCAATCTACTTTCTTTAATTAAACTATATTCTGTTTTTTATAAATCTAACTAGTACTTGTTCTTTAAGCATTAAAATATTCAGAATTTAAGGCTAATGTGTAGTTGATTTTGTAATAGATAAAACATCTGTACATCTGTATGTATTGAAGTGTGTGTGTGTGTATATACATATATAATTTTACTGTTTAGAGAAAAATAAAAAAAAAAAGTAAAGGGGAGATGAAATAATGAAACATTAAGCTGTTTTGTGCAATTATTTCTTGCATATTCTGTACCTTTATTGGTGATTATAACTTTATACATACATATAAGGAATAAATAAGAAAACCTTTAAAAATTTAACGTTTTGCTAGTTATTTACCTTAACCAGAAAAAAAAAAAATTGACAAAATTAGCCATGGTCAGAAAATGCATGTTCTAATCAGTCAAACATGTTCCTATATATATATATATATATATATATATATATATATATATATATATATATATATATATATATATATAAAGGAACATTGAAGTCAACACTGGAGGCTTAACTGACTTTCATGCTAGATGCAATCATCAGGCCATCTTTGATGGTGAATATCTTTGTTTAAATGTCAGTATAACCACTCTGAAGATGGCTCATGTGAGTTGAAAGCTTAGATCAACGACCAGCTAATAAAAAAAATATCCACATTTTGGACGATTTTTGTCTTTATTTTCACCTAAAATTAAAGCAAATATATGAAGTTTAGAACGTCTCATGATCAAGCATAATGGACATTCATTGTCTTATATTTAACAATTTATGTTTAAATAATGATCTGCTGCCCGAATACACTAAATTAAAATATATATATATATATATATATATATATATATATATATATATATATATATATATATATATATATATATATAATCACACACATGGAGATGAGGTGCTAAATTTGGCTTGATCTACTTCCAAAAACAAAATCTGACCAAATAACATCAGGTTTTTGTTTTTGTTGTTTTTACCTCCACTGTTGAGTAAAGAACTTTTCAGTACACCTTCATAGAATGTGATTAGCACACAGGATTTTTGAAGTTTTTTGATAAACAAAATTCTGGATAGCAACTTGTGTGTAAATATGAGAGATAGTAATTTTCACGTTTAATTGTAAATAACAAACCCTACTTACACTTTAAAAGTAAAAATACTACCACCTTTCTCCTATCATTTAGCCTCTTTTAGTTGTCTGAAAATCACCTTAAAATTATAAACTTCTTACCCCCACCCCCTACATCAGTGTAACTTTAAATTCAATTTTCTAGCTCATAATATATATTAAAAAGAAGTGAAAGATAGCAAAAGGGTTCTTGGGTAATCTCTGTTTTCATGTTTGTTTAATTTTTGATACTGCTTGACTTGAAAATTTTCTGCTAAAAATCTTAAATTTTTTAGAGAAATTTTCAAGAACATTTTGATATTAAAGTGAGATGTAATATATACTCTGTTCTTGCTAAGGCCTTGTGATAAAATATTTAAAGAAAATCTATATTTTATTTTTCTGTTATCCTTTGAATAGTTTTTTTCTTGCACAAAAAACTTTTATAATGTTTTATTATTACTGAGACTTTACTCTAATGTCTCTGCTGTTGCTTAGTTTCTGAGAATTTGTATGACCTATTTAGTATTTGCCACTCTATAAGATGCATGTCTTACAAGAATATATTTTTAGTTACTGCTTATCATTATCCTGATCCCTTGACTCTAGCTTTCCATGCAAGACTTCCTGTTCAAAATACAATTTTATTTTTTAAGAAAATGTATGTTGTAGCCTGGCAAATACAGTCATCATGTTCTTATAAGAATTGATATAATTCTGTTGTCTGTAAATTTGAGAAGAATCTGTAACATTTTAAATTTTATTTAAATTTGGAATGATTTATGTTAGGCTTTTGAATGAAAAGTCTTTCACACTCTGTGTCCATTTCTAAACTTATAAAATCTCCTTAGGAATTAATTTGGGAAGAAATATTCATATTTCAGTGTGTGGAGGAGGTACATTTGAAAAGTATATATAAATATATACACAAATATATTAAAATATACAGGGTGGAGGAGGGGCAAGGAAGAAGTAGTGGATTGAAAAAATAAATGAAAAAGTGTTATTTCCACTTTTTTGTTTTTGTTATATTTTTCTATTCACCACTCTACAGTGAGTAATAATGTATTTTCCTTGCTCTTCTTTTCTTTCCATTCTAATATATTTTTCTAAAGCCCTAATATATTATAGTATATATGTTACCATTCTCTACATGATTTAGAAGTAAGCAGTATTTAAAAAGCATGAGAAATAGTGTTAAAATAAACAACAAATTATTAAAAGTAAATTGGATTATTTATAACTAATAATGTTCATATGCAGTTCTGAATATTTCAAGATGAACTTGTTAACTGTAACTCTCAGAGAGAATGATTAGAATGTTTTGAGGTGTAATTTTTTGAACATGATATATTTATATCCATGATTTGTCTGGACAGCTGAACTCTTTTTATGGCTGAAGTGCTGTGCTAACATTTCAGCCAATCTATTCTACAGTCTTCTTAAAGTGTATAGTCTCTATCTTCTCACTGATTTTTACATAAAGCTTAAGAAAGCTACAGAACTCTAGAATGGAGCATCTGAAATAACATCCACAACACAAATTCAATTTTCTGAAAGAATTTTGGAATATTTGATTAACATTCTCAATGTTACAGACAATATGTTTTTAGTTTATTGCTCAGTTAATTTGTTTTGTTTCTTCTACAGAATAACCAAACCCTTTCATCACTGTGTGAATTCTTAGCTGAAGTTGAAACTATTTGTGTGAATTTTAAGAAATGCATACCTCAGTATAGTTTTATTCCGGTTACACATTCAGTTTACCTGAATATGCTAGAAATCAAGGTAAAAATCATTTTACTTTGTTGTAATTAAATCTATAAATAAAATAAATAATCTATAAATAAATTGCATTAATAAATGCAAGTTGCAAAACAATTTTTTTGAAACATCTCATCATCATAAACTATTACTTTCTACTGAGGCTAATAAATTGCTTCTTGCAACAACCAAAAACTGAGTTAGAGTTGTATTATAGCGATAGGGCAATCAAAAGACCCAGTTTTTGGTTGTTGAGTTCTCACTATGTAAAAATTTGGTTATAGAGAAACTATAAAAATTTTATTCCTACCAAATCCAAGTTGCCAAACACAAAAACTTAGTAGAAATAACAAAACAAAATAATAGGCTCAAAATTATAAAACAAAATAACCACTGTGTAAAATTTTAAAAGGAAAAACACATTTACAGTTTACACAATTATGAAGAAAGGTACAAGTTTGCTCAAAACTTTCCTTTAATATGCCTATTCAGACACGATAACAATTTTAAGGATTACCAACGAAAAGTGGAAAATTACAGCAAGGGAAAAACAAGGATTTTGTAAATGACAAAAAGAAAACAATATAATTTGCTGTTAAAAAAGAAAAGAAAAAAAGTGCAACAACCTTTGAGAAAAAAACAAAAAGACCTACTTTTATAATAATTTTCTTAAAAAAATTCCCTTTTAACTTGATACAGTTAGTGTTTAAGAAAATTTCTTCAAAATTTTTTTGTTTTAGACTGTCCAACCACTAGAGAATTTTCACTTGAACTTTGGTCTCTCTGTGGCTGGCTGGTTGACAACTGTTGTCTTCTTTGGTGTTTTCCTCTTGATGTTAAATACCTTCTTTGCTGTTGACAACTTGTTCCCTTGCTGTCCAAAAGTCTTCTTGTATTTACTGACCTATTTATTTTAAAATTTAAGCTCACCTCTGCCCCACTATTCAGAAAGTTAGTAAAGCTTGACACTATATCTCCCATTAGTCAAAAAAATTAGTGAAAAATTAATCTTCCATAAAATGGAAAAGATCCTTCACAAATTTTGGCAGGTTTTAACTGCTGAATTGAAAAAGATACACAATTGTAACAATTTTTACACAAACTGTCTGGCCTTCATAAAAAATACACTTCTTTCAAAAGAACATGTATTAAAAAAAAAACAAAAAAACAACCTAGACAATTATACATTCAGGTAATTATAACATTTTTAAAATAATAAAAATTAAATTTTTATAAAACTTTGAACAAGAGTGAAAGTTTTCTCTTTGCTCATCATCTATATAATTATTACAACTGGATGGAAAGGCTACCTGGGTGACAATGCCTCCTTCTCTTGAGTACCACTACAAAGTAGTCTGTCTTGCTTGGTGATTTTATTTCTACTGCTTCCACATGTCAGCTTCTCATTGCTACTCTCTTCTCACAATTGCTATAGCATTTTGATGACATACAATCATGTCATACTGCTTTTCTTAGCTAAGCTAAACCACTTAATATATTACAATAAATACAAATTTATTTTTCTTTCTTCTACTTTGGTCAATTCTAAAGATTCCTATTTCCTGATTATAAAATAAAAATAAATGTCTTTTGTTAAGTATATTTTAGTAATTGCTAAAATATACTTAACAATATCACAAAAATTCAGACAAATCTATTGCTTTTATTAAAAATATATAATTATTTAATAGATTTAAACAAAATGGACTTCATTATTTAACCTTTAGGACCCTTTTGGCCAATTTTTTTTCAAAAGGTAATCAATTGTTGGCAAAGTAAAAAAAACATAATCGAAGACACATTAATAATAAATGACAAATGAGGTGGGAAAATTGGAATGCAATTAAAATTGTAAATAAATTAACAACTAAAAAATTGGGAAGTTCCAAAAGAGTATAAAATAGAAAAAAGTCACTCACAATCTTTGTGTTTTCACTTCAGCATTACTAGTATTGTCACACGTACTAGCAGGACCGATTATCTTAAACATGGAAGAATCATTCAAAATATTGGCCATCTTATCCAAATAATCTTACCTATTTAAGATGACAATGCCAGAACCCTTATCAGGCTTAGTAATGTACACATCATTCATTGATTTTAAAGATTTTATGGTCTGAAAATGAACGCTTTGCCACACAAGAAAATCCTGCTGAGCAGTGAGCGAAGCATATTCATTATTTAATAGAATTCCAAAAGCATAAATAATTAAGCTGTTTTTATGATGGTGGGTGAACTTGTATCTTTTTGTATTGTTATAGAAAATGAATTTGTCTTTTCCTGTGTTTGCATTTAAAAAAAAAAAGAACATTGTTTAGGTCATTGTTTTTATTTTTTAGGGGGGTAAAGAACTTTTTCAACTGATTGGTTATGCTGAAGTAGATCATAGAGGACTTGAACGATTTGAAGAGAATATTTCTGACTTAATGGAGTTATTAGTGGATATCATCATTGCTCGTTGTGAACTTACAGAATATTTGCTGGACGATCACCCACATCCACACTACATTCTTCATACTATAAAAGAGGTAAGCATTTTCTCTCTCTCTCTCTAATATTATATCATTGTCTTTTGTTCAAGTTAAGATCATTACAGAGTGCCTAGTATAGCCAAATAGCTAGCAAGCTTATTTTGTAAACTATTCAAATTCACTACCCTATCATTGTAGACTTGTGTTTTTTTTCTTCTTTTCCCAACCCGTTCTAATAATTGGTGACGGAACAAAAATCTTCAAGTACTGTTGTTTGTACTTTCATGGACGGCACAAGGTTTATCGTTGGAGTTTTTCTTCAGTGACAACTGGATTTATCTTCAAGTACTGTGATTTGTACTTTCATGGATGGCACAAGGTTATTCGTCGGGAGTCTTTCTTCTGTGACAACTGGAGTTAACTTCAAGTATTATTGTTGATACTTTCACAAACGGCACAAGGTTATTCGTCGGAGTTTTTCTTTAGTGAAAACTGGTTTTAACTTCAAGTACTATTGTTTGTACTTTCAAAACAGCACAAGGTTTATCGTCGGAGTTTTTCTTCAGCAGATAACTGGATTTAACTTCCAGTACTGTGATTTGTACTTTCACGGACGGCACAAGGTTATTTGTCAGAGTCTTTCTTCTTCAGCAGATAATTATTATTATTCTTATCATTAGGTTGGCAAGCAGCGTTATATCAGAAATCTCTTTCTCCAGGTCGCAACCTCACTGCGACTGCAACGGCAACTGAAACTGGCTGGCCCCAACTTTCTCCAAATCCAACTCCAACTTCTCCGACTTACGGACCCCAACTCTCTCCAAATCAAACTCTAAGTTCTAACTTTGGCCCACATGGGCACTTGTATTTATGGGTGTCCCTTTCAACTGGTGTGGTGCGGGTGAATAGGTGGGTTTTATGCAAATCTCCCAAAATTTTTCTTTCATTTTCTATTTCACATTTCCAATTTTGGAAGATCCCTCCTCTTTTGAGAGGAGCCATTATATGATGTCAGCCTTTCTGATGTCATTTTCTGCTTTTTAATTTTTTGTTCTCAGGGAAAGTTTTGACCAACAATTTTTCTCAGCAGATAGTCAAGCCAGACATCTTTCAACAGCTGACCTTAACCTCTGGCCCCCTGACCTGCCACCTGTGTCTAGCAAAGTCATGTTGTGTAACTTTTTTCAACAAAATTCATACATCTATTCCCACATCCTGGGAAAATAATTCTCTTTCTGACAAAAATTTAAAATCGTTTTGTTTTAACCCTTTTCGCCCGTTTAATCCTTTTCGTCCATACGCCATGTTAAATATTGTCACACCAGAGTAATCAGAAATACTAGTAGAATAAACAAGGGTGTCCTGCCTCTTTGGTTAAGAGATGTGATATCATATGCAAATGAGGAGGACAACATAGAGAGTGTACAAGGCAGCATTAGTCAGCGAACCCATTTGCTAAACTTAACATGGAGAACTGTACTACGATTGTTACTTCTCGGAGAGAAATACACATTACAACAAATCAATTAATCTCAAGCAAGGCGATAATGCCACCAAGACACAAAGGGGCTATTGGGAGTGAAAGAGAATGAGAATACTAGAAGGAAACCCAATTCTAAACAGAAAACAAAGAATAAACCTCTACTCCTGTTCAAAAGACAGGGGTGCAGTGTGGACCAGATGATAGGCAAATCTATCTACTGCTATTGAGGAAAAAACTGTAGGAAAGGAGTTATAGGGTGGGAAATAATTCATTAACCACAAGACCACATAGATACTTTTGAACTCTATCAAGGCTGGGAAGTGAAGATTGGGTAACTCTAGCTCAGATGTGGGTTTATGGTAATAAACTTATGAAGGTCAAATTGAATTTCAAAAAGCAGCAACATGACACAATGAATAATATTTGTGATCTATACTTAAGTACAGTGACTGCATTAATGCTAACAATGGATTAAGAAATTTAAAGGAGTAACTGTTATCTTTCTAATAAGGACTATCTTTAGAAGACATAGATAATTAGATAATGAGTTTTTTAAAGTATCTGTTAAAGCAGATTTTTTTAAGGCCAAAGTCAAAGTAGCAGGAACAAAAAGACATCATGTTTAACAATATTTGAATATCACAAGAAAATTAAAAAGGAATCTAAACAGGGAAATTGTCTTCTTCATGAACAGTTACTAGAAAATAGCACACAATGCTTAAACATTTGAAACTTACCAGGAATGAATCCTACAACCAAATTTTCTTCACTAGATTCTTACAAGAGATGATGAACCATGTGAGGGAAAGTTCTCAGCCAGAAAAAGCCCTTTAAAAAAAAGAATTCTTAATACTTTATTCATTTGCTCAGATTTTGGGAAGTGGATTGGGTTGACATATTTTCAGCATATCCCTAATCACCACATTTATTTCATTTTTATTTTATTTTATATTTTTTTATGCTAAACTGACCCAAACACTGAAATCAGGATTTCATTTGCAGAAGGTTTTGCTATCATCTGACACATGACAAATATTATCCACTACTGGATTCTGAAGAAAACATCACTTGAGACCTTTATTGTTGTCAACTGAAGCATATCAATGGTGCATTACACCAGAAATAAAAAGGTTGTCAGTCTTAAGGAAAATGTTACAGTGATTTATGCAGCAAAACAACTTCAGAAGAAAATAGTGATTAGACTGGAAAGATCTTTATACTTACCAGGTTAAAAATATCATCATGTTCAAAATAAACATGATGATATTTTTTTTACTGCCAGCAGTTTTTGAAATAAGGAAGATGTCAGTTCAGGTCTCCCAGCATTTTTTTTTCATCCAAAATACTAGAAATGTTTTGGTGAAAACAATTACCTTTTATATCAGACGACTGCAATTGTTAATGAAGATGATTATTTCACCGATTAATAAAATTTTAACTTCATTACATCTGCATCCATTTTATCTCCTTGAAAATGTCATAACTCATTGAATAACTTTTGTGTGTGTGTGTGTGTGTGTGTGTGTGTGTGTGTGTGTGTACACAACGGTTAGCAAGATTATTTACCTTCTTTACAATCGGACTAATATCCTCATTTTTGTCTTTACTACCACAACCTTTTTGCCCTCCTGCCTTCAATAGGTGTCTTTCATAACCTTTGGGATTTTCAAAATTAACCTTTTATTTAATCTACTGGAGTAGATTGTTCTCATTCTGCTATCTTTGTTTAGAGATGTCTTGGTTAATTATTCTTTTAGTACTGCTAAGTTACTGCTACTTCTGTTTCCACTGAGTCTAAGTATATCTGTATTATCCAACCTAGGGATTGAACTCACAAATACTATGTAGCCAAATGTTTAGATAATTCAATGTTTCTGATCCTCATTGGGTACCTCATTCATGAGTCTTTCGGCCAGACTAAGTTAAGCTTATATGCAAACATATTTTTCATCAAGTAGTTTCTGAAAGTGGACTGGTCAAACTTGCCAGTTTCATATAATTTATAATGTGCTGGATAATAGCACTTCACACCTGATCAGAACTGATGGTTAATTTATAAAAGTATTTATAATATAAACTTTGGCCAGTGCTAAACTTTTCATAATTGATCTCAGATTTGGATACCATTTTCAAGTGTTCATGGACAAAAGTATTCTAATAAGCTAATGAACAGCATGATGAAAATTAATCCAAATTAAGACTATTTGTCATTTATTTATAATATAATATTTTGAATCCTGAGATGTTTTCACTGCTATAAATATGAAATGGATACTTATTCACTATTGGTGAAGTTACTAAAATTAAAAAAAAATCTATAAGATACAAGTGATTGAATGTAAGCCTGCAAATAGGGTTGCTGATAGATGTGTGCTTTACAGTTGATATTTTAGTTTGGTTTGTATTTCCTATGTTAGTAATATCAGTTTAATATTGATATATATGATAGTAATATTAGTTTAATTATTGACCATGAATGGTATTAATTTACAGCATTAATATTTAATGAATGATGATAATTTAAGCTTATGTTGTTTTTTTTTCTTTTCATATAAAGTTTTTAAAATATACTCAATTTTTATCTTTCAGTTTGCTGATTCTGACCACTGTAAGTAAAATTATTTATTCTTTTATTTGATATTAAAGATTTTTTCAATGAATTTCCTAACTAATTTCATATTAATTTAGAGACAGCTGTACATTTGATGGTTTCGCTCCCTGCTCCACATGCAGAAATAAACATTGGTGGGGGTAGTAATATAGTTGTGGCAGCCATGAGACATGAACAGGATTTAATATTGTTTGATTATGGAATGATTGTTGGTGCTAGACAGATTGGAGCACATTATCTTCAAGGTGGCAATTATTCTAGTATTTTTTTTCCAAACAACATAGCATGGGTATATCAGTGTACTGACTGATATTAATCTACACCACTGGGATAGAAGGTCTGTTCCATTAAACATAACGTTACCACAAGTAGTATAAGCTGAAGCCTATGCTATTTGTATAAGTTGTCTATTCACACTTCTTTTTCAAGAAATATTTTAATATTTTTCAGTAGCTCAAATAACCACTCTTTATAATAAATCTATAGAGAAGAGCAATTCTGAACACATAACATGTCAGATTTTCAGGCAGATGGGCTACAGCAACAAAAGACTATGCCAGGTTTCATACCTGTCAGATAAGAACAAGAATCTGAGGCTACAATTTGCTAAGGATCACAAAAATTGAAAAGATTAGAAAAAAAAAACATTGCCTGGTATCATGAGTCTTGATTTCTGCTGTGAAATTTGGATAATAGGGTCAGAATTTTGTGCAAACAACATGGATCAATCCTGCTTTGTGTCAAAAGTTCAGGTTGGTGGTGGTGATGCAGTGGTATGGGAAATATACATTGGTACTAATAAAAAATCATTTAAATGTTACAATCTACTTAAGTATTGTTACTGACCATATGCCTCAATTTATGAATATGGTTCACCCATCCTCTGTTGGCATCTTCCAGCAAATCAACGCAACATCTCACAAATCAAAAATAGTGGTAAATTGGTTCATAGAACACAGCAATGAGTTTTTTGTGTTAAGGTGGCTTTGCAGTCACCAGATCTTAATCTGAGAGAGTAGTTAATATTGGAGGCTATTGTACTAGCAATTTGTGAATGGGTTCTGGACCATGCAGAAGAAGGGTACTATTATGACTATATCTCCAGATAATTCAATCCAGGTTATTTATGCATGCATCTCCTGTGGATGTGTCTGACTCAGTATCTACTAGTCTTCCCCCAAACACACTACATTCCACACTTGAATTCAAGTAAAATGATTGTCCTGGTTATAATGATTAACTACATCTGGCAGCAAGACCTCTGATTTTGAGGATCATGGAACCCCCCTCTTAATTGCTGTTGTTTCTAGGTTTACCCTGACCTGGAGTGGTAGCACTTGTTAGTGTCCCAGCTATGAGCAAATAGTTAACCCCCAAACAAAAATCAACAGTACATTTTTATAATAAAATGATCAACAATACAGTTTTATAGCAAAATGACAATCAATTCAACACTAAAAAGAAATATAAAAATACATTTTTATAGTAAAATTACCAACAATACATTTTATGATCTACAAAATATTTAAAAAGACATACCTTTACTCTGAAAGTATAAAATTATGTACAAAATATCTGTAGTTGAAAGCATAAAATTATATAAAAAAATATTTTGATTTTGGCATTAAATAACCCATAGTGGTTGATATGCCACTAAACAAAATCAACCAAACAACCAACATGAAAGAACGCATTCATGACATTAGTCCATATAACATCCTACAATTTCTACAAGAAATCAAACTGTATTCCAAAATACTACAAAATTACAACATAGAACACACATATCATTGCCTCTAGTAATTACATCTACTTAAACATGTATATGCACAAAAACCAAGGATCACCTACCAGGTATTCAATTATGGAAACAGGGTAACATGTATCATATTTTTATTACTTTCAAGCTCTCAAGAAAATTAAATTTTGGCATTAAATGACCCATAAGGAGTTGATATGCCATTAAACAAATCAATCAATTAAAATAAACAAAATTAAAACTTAATCTATAAAAAGATGTAGTCCATAGGTATACCATGATTCACACCAATGTGAGGGATCTTTTTTCCAAACATTAGATACTTGTAATGTTCTTTTCATCATGACTGAGGGTTAGAAAGTGAATTCTTCAACTACTGGTCAAACCAGATTGTGTTAGATTTCAGAAAGTATAATATATTCTGCCTACAGTATAAAAACACAGTGAATTGTGCTTCCATAAATGAAATAAAAAAAAAAAAAAAGAAACATAATTTTATTATACACTTTTTGTGTCAAGTGTGGTAATATATATATATATATTATATATATATATATATATATATTTCAAGCTGTAACAAATGTTTCTTCTTTTTTTTGTTCAAACATTAGCTTGCAGCATCAGGTATTTATTAAATAATCAATTGTGATCAGCAGATATTTGTTCATTGAAAAGCTAAAGTTGAGAAAAATGTGATGTTACATTTCACTCCCAAAAAACGTGGGATCATTATGATGAAAGTTTGAAATCCTGTGAGTCAAAGGTATCAAGAAAAACAAACAATTTTTCAAGTTTGCTTTTTTTTTAATTTCAGTTCCTTCTATTCTCTGTGAATTTTTTAACTTCAGTGGAACTGGAAGCTTTCTCTGCCAAATAGTTAAACTTTTGCACTTTATATTATTATTATTGTTATTATATTTTTTTTAAATTTCCAAGTTATCATTTTATTACTTTAATTTAGAGAAAATTTAAAATTTATTGTTTGATCTAAAATGATTTTCATTATCAAAGAAAGAAACGCGTCTTCTTTTAAATATTTCAATAAAGAAATTTCCAAAATGTTTACATTTTTAATATTAGTTTTGATGCTTATTAAACTTAACCAAAATGGAAATGTTAGAAAGGAAAATTGTTTAACAAATCTTTTTTAAATTAAAATATCCGTTCAATCTGCCTCAAAAAAATCAGATTCTTAAAATCCTGGAATTCTTTAATGTGGCAGTTTAGGAAATATATAATCATTCCAACCACTCAAACCTAATATTAATTTCAGCATGGCCATTTTGGATAGAACATAATATAAGATTGAAGTTTTGCAAAATATTTAATAGTTTTGTATTGATCTTATGAAAGGTCTTCTTATATATAGGATAAGGTTTTCAAAAGGACATTTTAAGTATCATTTTCAACAACATGGTTTTTTACCAGAACGTGTATTCAAAAGAATTGAATAATAATTGATCAAATAAAAAAAGAAATAATTCAAGATCCCAAAGGGAACGTTTTTACCATTGAATCTTGAAATCAACCAAAAAAGAAATATCTTGATGAGAGTGAACTTGTTTCAATTCACAGTTATACCATCATAAAGAACCTCAGTAAGTTGAATTTTGTTGATACAATTCCAATACCCCAACTGATCAAAAATGGCACTGAGTATCAGACTCTTCACAAATTTCCTATTACTGCATCAAAGAATTTTCTTTAAAAGAGCCTTAAACCAGGTGTCTATATTTAAAAAGTATAGAATTCTGGTTCCATCTTTGAAGATGAGGAAAGAAAAAAGAAAAAAAAAAATGTAAATGAATTTGCATGAAATCTGAAAATGCAAAAAAATTTTTCAATTTATCAGATTCTTTATTTACAAAGTATGTCAGATAAAGCATCCAAATTACTTATTTGTCATTTATTTTTAAAGATTATTTCTATTCAGTAACCATATTCATTTCATGTTGTATTACTGTTTGAAAATTGCTCAATTTTTTTTAACATTGTTAGAATTCAAAGAAATATTTTTTAAACGGATAAAATTTGTCTGAAATTAATGTGAAATAAAATTATCTTTTTCTCTCTGTTAAAACAGATTTTTCTAGAACAATTGATAGAACATGATTTTGTTTGATTTTGAAGACAAAAAAATTTGATATTTTTAGAAAATATAAAGTTGAAAGTTAATAACCTAATAATTTATTTATAAATAAATATTTGGTAATAAAGTTTTTATCTTTTTTTCCAAATAGTTTAGATTTAAATTTTCCCAGATTTTTCAAAGTGAATGTTTAGCTATTGGTTGATTTGAGATCCATATATAAATAGGTTTTTATCAAAATTTAAAAACATTTCCCAAACCAATGTGTTACATAAAATATTTAACAAAACCACCAAAAACAAATCATGAGGCATAAAAGAAAGTACTGAATAAAACAATTAAAAAATAATCAGATTAAATGCATTTTGCAAATTCTGGAGAACTTTCTAAATTTTAACTATTAGGAAATGAAATATTATCTATATGGGCAGTGGTTAAATGATGAAGGAAATTTTGGATAATATTACAAGTGTCACAAAATGTCCTTATATAACCATAAACCATCATTTAACCTTTAGCACACTGTATTTTTAATATTATTTTTTTCTTTTTGCAAGTCTTATTTTTTTCTTTGAAATTTGTCATTTTTGCCATTGGCAGGAAAAGAAACACATTCATGAAATTCAAAAACACTATTTTTTAATCAATTATAGTATTACCTTAATTTTAAATAAATTAAATGAAGTTAAAATTAATTTTTAATAAAATTTTTTTATTGATAAATTTTCCTGTCTCAAAAGATATGTCTGTTTATGGAACAAAGGAATTTTTTATCACTTATTTACCTTATGCAAATAGGAAGATCATTGGCTAATATACTTTTACTATTGTTAAATGTGATTATATAATATATATATATATATATATATATTTTAAAGTTTTTTAGAAATGAAAATGTTTATTTTTTAAAAAAACTTCAGATTAGAAAAGATTGAAGAAAGGAAAAAATTCAATGGATTAACATATATAGGCTTGCTTATGATTGAAAAAGTTATTTTCCTTCCACCTGATTTTATTAGATTAAAACTTAACTATTAGATCATCTTTTATAAGGAAAAATTTTTGAAATTTTTTATTAAAATTCTTTAAAAACAAATTATATATATATATATATATTATATATATATATATATATATATATATATAATATATATATATATTTTTGAAAAACCATGATAATAAAAAAAAAAAAAAAAAAATATTATATATATATATATATATATATATATATATATATATATATATATATATATATATATATCCAACTAGCAGTATTGCCTGGCATTATAACAGTAAGAGATAGATCAAGTATCCACCATCATAAAGACTGAAAAATAAAATTGACAAAGATTATTGTTTAAGGTTGACGGACACGCATGTCTTAATTAGTTTTTTTTTTTTTTTTACGAATTGGTCAAACCCAAACTCAAACAAAAACATTGTTTTCAATCGTTATGAGTCTCTACCGATTGAATAGTATTTTATTATAAACAATTGTCTTGTAAATGGAATTTTTAAAGCATTCTGAATGTAAAAAATAAAGAAAAAAGTGTGCAAGACAATAAGAAACACTACATGCCAAAAAAAAAAGTGAAGTTTTTTGAAATCGGTTGAAAAAATGTAGGTAGCCTTTCTGTAATCTTTTAGTTTTACAATTTATGATTTTTTACTTATTGAATACAGTAAAAAAAATTGCATATTTTGCTTTGGTGATTCATAATTAGAATTCTGATTTGAATATATTTTCCACTCGTTGTTTCTAATACAAAAATATTAACTTTATTTGGGTTTATTAATTATGATCTAACAAATCTTATTCATTTAGTAGCCTTTCTGTAATAATAATAATTTTTACAATTTATGATTTTTACTTATTGAATACAGTAAAAAAAATTGGACACCATACCTTTTAAAAAAAGTTTTTCCGTTTATTATTTTTTAGTTAGGACTTGTGTATGTTTAGATTTCATTATCTTTCCCTAAAGATAAAGAATTTATCTGATGTTTGTATTCGTACAATCAGTAGAGATCGTTAGATTATTGTTTAAGGTTGACGGACACGCATGTCTTAATTAGTTTTTTTTTTTTTTTTTTTTTACGAATTGGTCAAACCCAAACTCAAACAAAAACATTGTTTTCAATCGTTATGAGTCTCCTGATTGAATAGAATTTTATTATAAATAATTGTCTTGTAAATGGAATTTTTAAAGCATTCTGAATGTTAAAAAAAAAAAAAAAAGTGTGCAAGAGAATAAGAAACACTACCTGCCAAAAAAAAAAAAAAAAAAAAAGTGAAGTTTTGTTTTATCGGCTGAAAAATATAGGAAATCTGATCCCATATTTAAAGGAACCCACACACACAAACAACCCGACAACCTGGTTTTTGTCCCCTTCCATTTTCCCGATGTCTCTTAATCGTGTTTTCAAATTGATTTTGTGCAAAAACAATTATATTTTTCCCATTTTTGGCGCTGTTAGAACCACCACAAGGTAATTTTATGTAGTCCTGTGAAGTTTTGTTGAAATCGGTTGAAAAATGTAGGAAATCCGATCCAATATATAAACGTTACAGACACACACACACACACACACGAGTTTTATAATAAGTAACAGATATATTTTAGTTAAAAACAATAACATTAACATCTATAAAAGCCAAACACATCTTAACTATAAGCAAGACAAATTTTCTCTTAGAAATATCATAAAAAAAATGCACAACCCCAGTTGACCAGAATTTAAAATTCAATTGCTTTTAACAAATAATTTAAAACATTTAAAATTTTAAGAATAACAACACACCAACAAAAAGAATAAATTTAGAGAATTTAAATTATATTTATTGTTCACATTTTCTAAAGGAACGAATAACAATGATCAAATCAAACTTATAAATAAAATTATCTTTCATACCATCATTGTCTTTCTAGATGATTCATGTTTGAATCCAACCCTATTTTTTTTTAGAGTCAATTTAAATACACAAAAAACCAAAAAAACTCAATCCACATTATACTAGTAGAAATTTTAAAGTTTAATAGCCTTATCAATATATAAAAAAAAGATTAAAAGTAATGAACTTTAAATAATAAAAAAGAGTTGCCTGAATTTTAACATTAATTGAATATTTATCAGACATTTGATTTTTTTAGAAAATTTTTTTCCTATGAATTCATATTCATTAAAAAAAACCCACATATTCATTAAAATTAAAAATATGAAATCTGTTGTATTCACAGACACCAATTCAACATATCTCGTCATAATGTTGATATATGGTAGTTGATTAATATTCAGAAATGATCTTTGATTGGTTTGTCAATACAGCATCTGACCCTTTTTCTATTCCAACCAACAAAAGTTTTCTTTGTAACTTATTTGCTTTGTGTTTAAAAAATGTATCCAATTCAAATGACTGATACTGGTTTTGAGTAAACATTTTTTTCTCTGTTTATCATTCACTTACAAATACACAACAGACTGTTTTATCTTAGGCATTCATTTTTTGCAACTGAAACAACGTACAAATAATTGGATAAAAATGCAACTGTACTTTTTGCAGCATTCAAAGAAATATTGACAAAATTGGAAAAAAAAAAATTAGGGTTTAAAAAAAAAAACAATTGACCACTGTCGATCAAAAAAAAAAAAAAAAACATTTGAGGGTATTCAGA